CATGGACTCCACCCAAGCCTAGAGCAAAACTTTGCACAGGTCGACCATTTTTATTCTCACTACAGAGGAGTGATGTCTATAGTGAAAACTCAGGGGGTGGGCTCATTGCATTTAAAGAGACACACACACCAAAACGGAGCGTTCTGAGAGAGCTGGTTTATACAGGGTCACAAACCTCCTCTGGTGCTTGATTCATGTTATATTTTGACCAAAGCACAGCACAGATGTTTCATTTAAGACCACAGGGGACTGTTTTAATAGTGGAAAAGGGGGATAATATCTCCTCTTTAAAAGGTCTTCCTCACCTCTGGTTTCTTGGGAGAAGTTTTAATCGAGGTGGGCGTGGTTCCTGCTTTGGGTGTGAACTTCATGTTCGAGCTGCACGAGGCGATGGCTCCTTCTTGGGAGAGATTTTTATTTTCGAGGTGAAATTAGTGTTTTGCCCTTTGACGCTTCCCCTCTCTCTTCAGCCTTTTTCTTCATCATGGCCAGTTTGGAGCTGGCTTTGGCAGGCGAGGGCTTCTTCTCTGGAGTCGGACTGACCACATCCTCACACACACTTCCCTTTAGTTTGGCCTTTGACGGGCTGGGAGTAGTTGCTGTTTCAGAGGCTTTGCGAGCCTGAATGAGGACCCACATAAAACAAATAATTTAACGACTGCCAACATCAAAAGTGAATCTGCCTTTGGATCGTTTTTTTGTTTATGTTTTTTTTTTTTTTTAATCACCTTCTTAGCTTGAGGCTCCTCGTCCAGCATGGCCAGCGTTCTGGCAAACTCCTCGTCCTCATGGACCTGCTTTTCCAGCTGAGTGATGCATAAATGAGGACACAGAGGCACAAGATTGGAAAAGCAAATTACTCCCTCAACCATGTTTGGCATGAGCCTAAAAAATTACATTTTTATTAACTAAGCCCCATTTTTTTTTAACTCAGGATTTAAACACCTAATATTCAATGAATCATTATCTTTAGGAATTTCTATCATGCTCAAAGGATTTCTTACTTACAAAGGATTAGTTTTCTAGACCCAAATTTCAAAAGAAATGTCAGGCTTTGGACTCAAACTTTTAAATTTGAATTATCCTTTTTTTAAGGTTTCCCTTTTGGCCTTTTTTTTTTTTTAGAGACAGGACAGTAGATAGAATCAGAAATTGGAGAGAGAGAGAGAGAGAGTGGGGAATGACATGCGGAAAAGGAGCCACAGCTTTGAGGACTGAATCCTCTGTTCATGGAGCGTGTGCATTAACCACTAGGTGACCGGCGCCCCTATTGAATGCTTTTTGATGTAAACCCAAGTATATATGTTGCTACATGTAAATGAAATATGCAACACATTAAATAACACTTTTTTCATTATCATTGAAACTGCAAGATAGTTTCTCAGATTGAGAAATGTTTTCATCTTTGAAATGTTAAAAAACTGAAGATGCTTTTTTTTTAATTCAACCAACTAAAACACAAAAGCTCACTTTTTTTCAGCGGTTTTTTACGCATTAAATGTCTGTGAGGAATGATTGATTTTCAAAGTAGTTAATGACTAATTGTATACCAAGTGACAACTTGTTTCCCCTGTAGTTACTGAAGCAAAAAGAGCAGCTGATATGTGGAGCAGCTTACCTCCATGTCCTCGTCCATCTGCAGCTCTCTGGCGATTTGCTCATCAGTCAGCAGATCTTCAAAGTCCTTAATGGGCTGAGGGGAAGATCAGTTTACAGTTAAATTAGTGTTAAAGGATCCTCATTCGATACTTTGATAACAAAGTAGAAAAAAACGTTCACTATGCAAGGACGTTTTTCTGAATATCATGATCTTGGCATTTTGGGGAGAGGGTTTAAAGGGACAAAGTTCAAACAGAGGAGCATTCATCTCGTACTCACAGCCTTCCGTTTGGTACTGGCCACAAGCTTCTTATCCGAGCGCTGAACAGTTCCACTGCCGAAGAAGTCGAGGACTGAGGTGGGGGTGCGTTTGGGTGGAGGAGGCGGGGCTGACTTGGGGGTGACGGGCACAGCAGCAGACTTCACAGCAGTTTTCCCCCGAGTGGAGGAAGACCTGACAGGAGACTTCAGCCCCGGTTTGGATCCTGGACTGGAACTGTCTGACTTTGTTTGTTTAGATGAGCCATTCTGCTTGGCTTTCGAGACCTTCTTCAACGACTGAAAGTTGTCGCTGTCCGAGTCTACAAGCGGAAAGAGAGAAAATGCTAAAAATGCTGTCAAACGCTAAATTAACCCAACAGCACACATCTTAAAGCTGGAACTATTTTCTCTTAAAGTGGTCAACTGCTCGTGTGAAGACAGAAAAATCTGGGGCACAATTTTACAAAGACATATAAGTGACTTTTATAAGAAAATGTGACAATTAACCACAAAAATAAGTCAGAGGTCTTGCTGCAAAGCTCAAAGATGTATCTCTGCAACAAGATGATAAAGTCCTTTTACCTGATTCAGAGACATACTGCACAGGATCCTTTTTGGGAGGGGGCTCTGTCTTGGTTGACAACTTTTTCTCCTTGGGGGATTTGCTCGACTTCCTCACTGGCGGGTCTGAGTCCGAGTCTAAGGACAAACAGGTAAACAAAATGTGCCAATAAGAAAACACACAAGAGAGAGGATGGAAAGTCAAATGTCAAGCCGGCAATCACAGCTCCTAACAAACTCCCCAGTTTGTACCTCTCACGTAGACACATGTTGTTCTGAGAAACCTGGATATGATGTATATCCTTCCTACCTGTGCTCTTTATAGTTACTTATTTGGCATTACTTGTCTCCTTGTTGTCATACTGTGTGTGTGTCAGGGTGTCAGATTACACACAGGTGCTGTGCCTCACAAAGATGGTATAAGCAAACAAGGAGTCTCACTCGTGTTAAAAAAAAATAAAATCACAAACTCAAACTCTTACCAACTCTCACTTGCTAATAATTAGGAACAAAATCAAGATCAGATCAGAATCATTATCAATTTGGTTAAGATTGTGCTTAAAACACTGAAAGGGAAACTGCACCCGTTGAAACATGAATCTGTCATTGGGTCATATATGTTGTAGAAATGTGAAATACATTTTGAAGTTGGTGCCTTCTTGGCTGAGAAAAGGCAGAAAGTGTCTTTTTTTGGCTCATGTGGATGAAAGACACCAAATCCCAGAATGCACAGCACCGCAGACCACTCCCACTAAGGTCCTCAATTTCAGAATGAGAATCAGAAATGCTTTATTAATCCCAGAGGGAAATTCGATCGTTACAGTTTCTCCAAAATATACAATACAGCAGTAGAAATAAAAGTAATAAAAACATTTACAGACATTTTTACTTCAACACATTCGACCGTTTCCTCAACTAGTTCAGAGATTTCTTCCAGAAGGAATTGGCATCTTCCTGGCAGAAAACAGACTCTACGTCTGTGTCCATAGACAAACAGTGAGAGCACCGACACCACCAGTCTCAGGGGACAAATGAGGGCGGGATGCGCGACCATTCAAAAATACTACCAAGGTGTCTAATGATACAAAGCTTAATGCAAATGGGTGAAGTATCCCTTTAACTGTATGGGACATGAATCATGCAGAATAAACATGTTACTTTCTCTCCAAGCATCATCACCTCTAATTATTCTTATTTAATATTCAGTCCCCTCGTGTCCTGGTTACAGCAAGGCCCAACATACGAGGTACCTGTTGTCGGGGGAGACGAGGACCAGGTCAACACCCCTTAACAGACAAACCTCTGGGAAGCATGAACTCTGACACTATGATGTAGGAATAAAACATGAGAGGCACACACCGGAGATAATCACAAATTAACAATCATGTTACAGTGGAATAATGTCTAAAAGTCACACACACCTGATTCTATGACGGCGTGCTTCTTTCTCTTCTTCTCGCTGTCTTTGCGTTTCTCCTCTTGTTTGGAGCTTTTGACCTGATAAGATAAAAAAAAAAAAAAAACATCAAATAAAAGTGAGGAATAAAAACAGGAGTCATTACAAGACAAAGATAATAGTGTCCTTGCCTTGGTTGTCTCCTTCTTCTTCTTCTTCTTCACGTCTTCATCAGGAGAGGACAGGTTCTTCTTCCCCTCTTCTGTTTGGATGTTTGCATTTGGTTTGTGCGCCGCAGACTTCGCCGCAGACTTCGCTGCAGACTTCGCCGCAGACTTCGCCGCAGACGGTGGAAAGAACCGCCTGATGTCCTGAGTGCGCACAAACACGTTAACCTCATTACAACACAATGGAGGGAGACTGCACACACAGGAGAGAGAGCTTACAGATTACAGCCTGGACTCATATCGACACACTGACTTGAGAATTGAGCATTTGCACATCAGGAATTTCACTTTTTAATCATCCTTATTTTGGGTTTTTTTTTAAGCAAGTGCATGATTTAAACTTTGTTAACAAATAAATGTCAACAATTAGGGCAGAGATGATCGTACTCTGTTCTTCACATTACTTTTATCCACTAAATGTTGTTCATATGCGTCCTAGTTGAACCTTTCCCCTGCAGCTAACTGTGCGCACTTCAGAGCAGGTTTTACGTGATTACAGGATTATCTTCGACTTCTTAAACCAAGCTGTTTGCGCAGAAAGCTTGCAGTAGGAGCGAAAGAAATAATTTAAATCTGCAGCATACCATATTAAAGTCGCTTTTCTGGTTGTTTACAGTCGGGTTTGATGTCAGGAAAGTAGAGAAATCCTTCAACTGGTTGGCGCGAAGCTGGACTCGGTTGTCGCCCGGAGATGACGCACGACCGGTAGTTGTTTTTTGGCGTGCGTCGTGCGTCATTACGCCTACGTTCTTTATATTTTTTAATTAAATACAAAAACAATTTACACAGAACAACAACAACAACAAAAATTATGAAATGTAAAGTAAATGTAAAGAGTAAACGAAGAAGAAGACTAGGGAAGGAAAAGGAGTATGGAAAAGTACATGAGGAAAATACTTTGTTTTAGTGAGAGGAGAGGAGAGGAGAGGAGGGGAGAGGAGAGGAGAGGAGAGGAGAGGAGAGGAGAGGAGAGGAGAGGAGGAGAGGAGAGGAGAGGAGAGGAGAGGAGGGGAGAGGAGAGGAGGGAGAGGAGAGGAGAGGAGGGGAGGGGAGAGGAGAGGAGGGGAGGGGAGAGGAGAGGAGAGAAGAGGAGAGGAGAGGAGGGAGAGGAGAGGAGAGCAGAGGATGGGAGAGGAGAGGAGGAGAGGAGGAGAGGGGAGAGGAGAGGAGAGGAGAGCAGAGGATGGGAGAGGAGAGGAGGAGAGGGGAGAGGAGAGGAGAGGAGAGCAGAGGATGGGAGAGGAGAGGAGGAGAGGGGAGAGGAGAGGAGAGGAGAGGAGAGGAGAGGAGAGGAGAGGAGAGGAGGAGAGGGAGAAGATCCTTCCAGGCTCCTCTGGACGACAGCGACTCGGACTAAAACAGAGGACCTGTTCTGAATATACACATAACATGGGGCGGCTGTGGCTCAGCGGTAGAGTTGGTCGCTCCCGCTGTTTCGTCGTTGTCTGCAGCGTATGAATGTATACGAATGGGATTAGTTAATTAATACTGATGCACACTTTACACAGCAGCCTCGACCATCAGTGTGTGAGTGGGGAGGTGTGACCTGCGGTGTAAAAGCTCTTTGAGTATTTTGAGTAGTATAGAATCTTTGTCTCCAGCAGGTGGTTGGAGCACCCAGGTCACCTTCACACATGTGGGACTTGGTTGGTGACCTCTCAGGAAGTATCTAGCAGGTTTTAATTCATACACGGCCGCTTTATGATTTCTTTGGATGAATGAAGCTGTAGATGTCTGTACAAGAGGTAAGTTAATAATATTCAAGGTTATAACTACTAAACATTAATAAGAATAAACTGTTAGCAGCTTAAATAAATTGTCATTAAGATTGATTTAAAAACCACAGTTGATAATACTCACTCTGTTGTATTTTGGCTCAGGCTCTTTCTCTAAGACCAACAAAGAGTTAGAACTTAAAACATCTTGGATCAAGTTTCCTGCACTTCTTAACTTTGATTTTCTGTCTCACTCACTCTGTTGTATCTTGATGTTTTTTGTAGTACCTACACGCAGACGAGGAGAAGGAAGACTGTGAGAAGACGTTTACATCGCAGACCATGACGAGAAGGACGGATGACTACAGGACCAGCTGGAGAGCGGGGTCGCCTTTCTTTTAATCATCAAAGTAAGTAATCGCCTCACTGAGACTACAGTAGCAGCAGCAGTAGTACAGGAAATGCTGATTGTAAATATATGAATTATGTTTATCATTGAAGTATAACTCAAATATAACTTTAAATCAACCAGCAATGTAAAGGTTAAAAGGTTCTGTTCACGATTGGTTTTTCGTTCTCACAGGGCAGGAGTCCTCTTGTGATCCTGGAGCAGCTGACAGTGAAACGTAAATCCACTGAAATCCCAACTCCACCCCAGTGATGACGAGTGCCCTTAAATAAGTGTTTAATCTAAGGAACAATCAACGCCTCGGTTCAACATCTCCAGGAAGGTCATTTTACCTTTAGAACAAACATTGACTTTCAGAAATGTTTCAATATTTGTATCCTGATCTGTATGTTAAGTGTTACTGATGTCACCTGGAAAGCTCACTGACAGATAACAGTCACAGCACCACAAGTAACACTTAACAATTTACTGATGCCAGACTTCTCTTTTTTCTATGTTTCCTTTAAGCGGAGGACGATCATTTAAGTTTCCATCTTTCTTTTCTCTAAGCATCAAGAAATCTGAAATTGGTCCTGGATATTTTTAATGGCAATTTTAAGACAATGAAAATGTCAAAGTATCCAAAGATATGATAGTGTTTTGTTTTTTTGTCAAGAAGACAATCCACAACTTTAGCCAAATCTTCCTGAGAAACATAAACCCTGGAGAAAGAGTTTAATTTTAAGGTGTGTAAATTAACTCCAGCACCTGAGCAGTGAGTACAAAAACAAAACAGAAGCAGAGCACTGAATTGGAAAAGTTGGTATCTTTATTGGTCATTAACAGGACATGGTGGATATTATTCAACATCTTGCTCCACTACTGTGGTCTTCTCGCTGATGTAGATGCCATCCAGGAACTTCCTGATGTCCTTCTTTCTGACCGTTGTGGCCTGTTGGATCAAGGCCGCTGAAAAAACATAAATATAAAAGAACAGAGGGTGATTAAATGCAACAGCTCGGTGCTTTAATAATAAGCTTTCATTCCCAAAACACGTTAGAAAGAGAGTGAACGAGAAGAGAACTGGTGAAGGAAAAGGAAAGTGAAAAATGTATTTAAGTCTGTGTAGTTAAAGGAATGATCATAAATTTATTATATTATTCTAACGAGTAATACATTAAACAAAAGAAAGGTTGCATTACTCTCGTCTTCGACAACGCTGTTAACTATCCTTAATCATGTTTTTGTATTTAGCAGATTCTGATGTTTCAAACAAAGAAAATCATATTCAAGCTGTCAACACTTGTAAGACCATCTCACAGGAGATAAATGTAACTGAATCGTAGCATTTAAAAAACAATCAAAAGAGAAGAAAGGATCCGTAGTCTTTGCATGCATCAAGACGTCAGAGTGAGAAGAACATGCAGAGGGAGAAATAAAGAACAAAGGAGACGATAAAGGCGACTTTTTTTCCGACGGCATCGGCTAACCTCCACGAGCGCTGTTGAAACTTTTACTGACTGGCTTCCACTACTGTTCCCTTCTCAGACACGTAAATACCGTCCAAGAACTTTCTGATATCCTTATTTTTGACTGTAGTGGCCTGTTGGATCAGAGCAGCTGGAACAGAGAAAGGTTGGGATGATGAGCAGCACGTCACACACAGGATCACAATAATCACAGAAGAGAACATCAGGGATCACAGCAGGACAGAGACAATTTGATCTTTGACTCTGAACACTTCTGATAAACACAAAACAAAAACATTTGCTTTAAGGAATAGAGGAGTGTACCAGACCCTGTATGATACAAGTGAAGTCAGTCTGGAGACCACATGGGAGAGGAATCAGAGTCATGAATGTCCTTTTTATAGGCCGAATTCTATTTGAGATATTTGTAGTTTGGCCTCTTCATCTGGTCTAAAGGATTCAAGTTACTGTTTTTAATAATTATATTTCTTACAGGGCGTGATTACTACATAATGCACAGCTCTGTGCAACATGCTAACGTAGTGCCTGTAGTCTCTGGAGCAGGTAGAGGTACAGCCCCATCCTGTCTCAGAGACGAGTTTTTTAAAACAACGGCCGACAAAACACAATGCATCGCTTAATTCATCTGTCAGCCAATTCTGACCGGACAATAAAAACAAAATGCATCGCTTGTTTCATTTAAAAGACCCGCAAACGTAAAGTGTCATCAACATTTATAGCTTCAGATTTATAATAATTTTCAATGACGAGTTTCTGATAAATACTGAGTTACTCGACTTAAGAGCACACATTTTATTATCAAGTATTTTAAAATTTAGCATAAACATCTTCCTCAGTGTACTTTCACTATTTTAATCAGCTGTTAACTTTCACATTTAAAAAGCCGCTTTATATTAAACATTAGTGTGCTTTTTAATGTAAACAATAATTTGCAGCTTCTTAGCACGAAGCAGACCGGAGTCAATTCTGAAGAAACACCTCTTAGTAACAAATCAGGAATACTTTGTCAATCAAAAATACGTTTCAGATCAAATCATGAGCTAAAGAGTCAAAATCAAATTGAAGTGAGATATTAAAAGACATTCGTAATATAATAAATACATTCCCCTAAACCAAATATGTTGGAGTTTTGGACATCCCCATGTCAGTGCCCTACACATGGGAATAAAGAGCATTACATCGTGTGACAGGAGGAGTCATGTCTCCCCTTACAGCAGAATATAATGTCAACAAACTCCTGTTCCAAGTTTAGGGGAATGCAAGAGGAGTGCGAAACATAAAACAGGATATGAAGGGGTGAACTACAACACTACGACAGGTTTAAAACTAGCAGATGAGCGACTAGTTTTGGGAGGGAGGTACCAGCCAATCTGCTGATCACATGACACCAACAGATTACCTCATCTGTTTTTGCTTCGGTCCCTTATAACAGTGAATTAGCATTTCAAAGTATCTTAACATCAAGCGTGATGAACTGAAACCTGCAGCGCCTCAGCAGCAGAGAGCTCAGAGGGCTCTCGAGTGAACGGGCTCAAAACAAAGAGAGCGACCTGAGCAGAAGTCATGTTGATGATGTCTGAGTCATGTAGAAAAGCTGTGAAGAGAAGAGGCACGTGAGCGTACCTGAGTTTGAAACCAGCTCAATGTCGTTACCCTCCAGGATCAGCTCATCCTTCTGAGCAGCTGAGACGGCACAGTTCACACCTGGGAGAGGAAGGAGATTTAAGTACAATCAGTGTCATTGCTATGGATTTAAAAAAAAAAGATTACAGTTTAAACACCATCGAATTAGAGGGCTGCACTTCTTTTCAAAACAAGGACAAACACAGGCTCATCATCTCATTCACACACACACACTGATGGATTAGAAGCTCTTTGTGAGTCGGGGGCTTTCAGGGGCTCAGCATTAAAACCCTACAATTCAAACACCTGAACCGTCCCACAGAACTGTAACTGGATTATTTCCTGGTTCCAATCTGTAGTTTTCAGCACTACAGAAGCCTCCACAAATAACTGGGAATTTCTTCATTAACCAACATTTATTAATGCAGCATGAACGACCAGCTGAGACTTCTGAGACCTGATGAACAGCTGATGTTTCAGTCAGAAAATAAAAGAAACTTTTAAGCTACAGCTGTGAGATTAAATCTAAATTCTGCTGTGGGAAATGAACAAGCTTTATTTCTTGTCATTTTGGTAGAGAACAAACAACAGATTCATCCAGCTCCATCAGTGACAGTCTGGTGTATTTGATGGGGTCGGATTATTTGTGCCCAAACTGAATTTCCCCCCCCATAGTATACTTGCTAACAGATTAAAGATCCATCATACTCCAGCTCATCTGAGGAAGCTTTAATTCACGCCCTCACTTAAGAACCTTCACTCCTAAAGAACACGTTTCTCATTAAATCACTTCCATCACTAGCGGCAGACTCACCAGCCCTCATTCGGACACGGCGGATGTATTTCTCCCCGAGGAAGTTCCTGATCTCCACCATGGTTCCACTCTCCTGAATGACGACGTTAATGGGGAAATGGGCGTACACAGAACGCATTTTGTAGCGGAAACCCTTCAGTCAGAGAGCAACGAGAGAGGCAGTTAGACAAACTGTGACGTCAGGTTAAAGGATTCAGAGCTTTTATTTATTCAGCGTTTGATATCCTACCAAAGTGACTCCCTTGATCATGTTCTGGACATGGCTGCAGATGGTGCGAACTGTGGCCAACTCCTTCCTGTTTCCCCACCATTTGTCCACACGAAGCTGAAGACAGCAAGCAGAGCGACTTAGAAAACTTATCAGTGAAAAACTGAAATAATGTGATTAATCTTTTAGGACGTACTGTCTCCAATAAACAACTTTCAATGTTGTTTCATTCAATTTAAACTTAATTCTTGAGTGACCGACTAATGGTCAGTAAAATAAACAAGGAATGTGTCATGTAGGAATGAATTAAGAGCTATTACAGGATCCTCCAGCTTGACTGTTTAACACATCTTTAGTACCACTCTGTTGAGATGAAGCAGGTTGCTTCTCAGAGAATTGCCAAATAATATAACTTCAAATGTAAGCTCAACACACTGCAGAGCCTACACAACTTTAAACATCAACTATGGGTTGAGCTAAGGCAAATAATTATTCCCCTCAAGTTTTCAGATATTAGAGAGTGCATTAATATTTCCTCCAAACAGCTTTAGGATGACACAAGGAAGGATGTTGATTCAACCAAAATTCAATCATACAAACTGAAGAATGTGCTAAATCGAGATAAAGACCAAATGATCTTGCACATGCATAACTGTACATCACCTTGTTCCCCTCCTTAGTGAATAAGTTTAACTGTGTCATCACGGATTACAGCAGACGCGCTTAAACCTCATAACACAAATGTGCGACTACAAAAGCTGGTAAACGTCTTTTTAGATACGTGAAATGGATTTAGATTGAAGTGGCAAAGCCTCGCTCGTCCTCACCTTCTTCTGTTTCTTGCCCAGCAGGCTGAGCTCCAGGTTGATGTGGTTGAACTGCCTGATCAGTTTGCCACGGGGCCCCTTGACAATTACTGTCCGGCCCTTCAACCTCACCTCGACTGTGACGCCACACAAAGAGAGGAGAAGAAACATTACACACAAAAAGAAAACATCTCACACACACACACAATAAGGGGTAAGATGCAGCACCCTATGGGTTACATGTCAAATATATTGCACATGTAAAAATCACAATTCTGACACATGCAGATTCTTACCATTGTCGGGGATGTCGACAGTCTGACTGCTGAGAATGGTCTTCATTCTGCATAAGAAACAATAATAATAATAAAGTGAGTTTAATGAATATCTGATGATATATTGCAGCTTTAACTCATCACATGTTACAGGGTGAGGTTATCATGTCATGGCTTTGCATGTTTCTACTGTTAAAAGGTTCAGGAACAACGTGGAGCCTTCAGTTTAAGACACGTTTCAGACTTCAGTGTGACTGTAGTTGAATCAAGTCTCCAGCCAACACACATGAACTGAGGTTCTTCAACTAGCTTCGTGCTAATGCTAATGATGAGTTTAACTAAGAAGATAGCAGCGTTATCATTCCGTTCAAACACACGAGATATACTTTAGTACGTAAATTAGTTTGCGGGATTTACAGTGTCAATATAAAGACATGTTTTCGGTAAATGTAGTCCAACCCGCTGCGGCCATGAGAAAACACGGCGCAGTAACAGAAGGCCTCAGAAACAAACACAACCATCATATTTCTAACAAACACCACGAAAAATACAAAAATACAGACTGTGGAAGGGAACTCAACCCTGCTCAAGTCTGACAGTTTAAAATAAAGTTAATAACATGTTTAATGGACACAGATGGAGTTAGATGAACCGGGACGGTAATATTTCAGATATCCTCACCTCGCCGGTAGCAGAGGAAAGGAGGAAGGAAGGACGTCACGACGCAAATGTAGAGTACGTACGCGGCGTCACCAGGCATTACGAGACGATCGCTGAACTTCAATGGTTCTTTTTTTTTTTTTTTTCTGGATTGATTTTAAACATGTTTTTGAAACGTTATGTTGGACTGAAATTAATTTCGGGGAAAGAATACGTTATTCTCTGTTATTTAAAAAAAATATGTTTTATTATTTTATAAAAAATATATTAATAAAATAATTATTTATTTTAAAAAATATGTTTTAATATTTAAAAATATATATATTTTATTATTTTAAATGTATTTAACCAGGAGAACCAGGAGAACAAAAAATGTTTTAGTATTTTAAATGTATTTAACCAGGAGAACCAGGAGAAAAAAAAAAGTTTTAGTATTTTAAATGTATTTAACCAGGACAACCAGGAGAAAAAAACATATGTTTTATTATTTTAAATGTATTTAACCAGGAGAACCAGGAGAAAAAAAAAATGTTTTATTATTTTAAATGTATTTAACCAGGAGAACCAGGAGAAAAAAACATATGTTTTATTATTTTAAATGTATTTAACCAGGAGAACCAGGAGAAAAAAAAAATGTTTTATTATTTTAAATGTATTTAACCGGGAGAACCAGGAGAAAAAAAAAAGTTTTATTATTTTAAATGTATTTAACCAGGAGAAACCTCATTAAGATTAAGAATCTGATTTACAAGAGTGTCCTGGTCAAGAGGGGCAGCAGCACAACAGAAAGTTACAGACATAAACACAGAATAATTACAAACACAGAACAACAAAAGTCCTGAGTCACATTGGAAATTTGACACACCAAATGATAAGGACAGAAATATAGATTTTTTTTTTAAACCTCCTTTTTTAACTGTATTGTTTATAAACCTTTGTGTATATTACATAAAGATAAAGATACATTTTATTGATCCCCCATGAGGGAAATATTTGCGTTACAACAGCTCAAGAAAACAGGAAACAGGAATATAATTATAAAAAATAACAAGAAGTTAAAAATCAAACATATTTACATCAGTTAAATAAAGGGAGAAAAAAATACAATAATAGAATAATACAAGGTATTTACACTTCCACTTGTGGATATATTGGCCTGTTTAGTATTTAATATTTTGGGTTTAGTATTTAGTATATTTGATTTATTTACGATATTCAAAGGAGTTTTTAATAATATCTGACTTGTTAAAAAATAGTTTTCTCATTAGAGCCCCCGTTTTTAGGTTTTTGTTTTACATTTTTACCTTCCCCCTTGAACTTTTAATTATTTTGTCTCGGGTGGGTCGGGACTCGGACTCGCAGGGGCTTACCTTGTTAAATACAGGTTGAATTAAAAAAAAAAAAAACTCTTAATACTGAAGAAATCAAATATATATATTTATCCATAATTAACTAGTGCCGGGATGATCCGTGAACGTCTCATCACTGGAAAATCCCACTCCGCCGACATCACGCGAATGCAACACCAGACCAAAGCAGCCGCACGTCGATGTTTGTTGCCAATGACAGTCGCCCTGCTCGCTAAAGTCATGGCGTTGCTCAAACAAAGTTGCTGTGTCGCCGGTCGTTTCTCCACAAACCATCTGTGGCTGAGTACCAGAGGCATCCCACATGTGAGTAAATAAAAGCAAAGAAACATCTTACACCTTACAAACACTGACGTTATGAAGTAATCTGTCACCGTCGGTGGTTAGCCTTAGTCTCAGGCCTGGAGATGCAATCTTGCAGTGACGTAACTCAACGTGATGTTTTTGTGTATCAGCTGTGGTGGCTTCACACTTCAGAGTTTTGTGTGGCACAACAAAGACTGTCAAAAGACGGATTGTGATTGTGTTAGAGTCTCAGTGAAGCTGTGGGTCCCTGAACTAACCATCAGTCCCTCCTCTGCAGGTTTACAGCAGCAGTCTGTCCACTGTGGCCAAATCCTCCCCAGACAGAGCTGACAGGAAGAAGGAGCTCCTCAGTGACGACGGGCCTGACCTGCAAGACTTTATTTCAGGGGATCTGTCAGAGAAAAGCAAGTGGGACGAATATAAAGGCAACCTGAAGAGAGAGAAGGGAGAGAGGTAAAGACAGCGTGGACATTACTGCTGAAATAGTTCGAATAAAATCAGTGATGGAAGGGAGGAATTTAATCTTTTCCACGTTTAACAAAGCTATCTACTGTGTGTAAGTGTAAAGTGTTATCAGAAGCAGGTCCAGAGACCAGATCTGACCAGAACCTTATCAACAGGCCTGTGCTAAGCTGAATCAACAGGATGTCTCTTTGTGTTGTCTCTGAGGGAAATGATTAAGTGGTTGCATGCTACAGAGAAACTCTCTGACTGATATTGCTTCTTTTTTCCATCATCTTGGTTAAAGTTTTTTCAAATGTGTATCCTTTAGCATTTTAAAGTGACATTCTGCTTTTAAAAAACGGCAGGACACCCTACTTGTACATCAAATCACTTCTGTTGCATACACTTTGATGCACTTAGAGTATAGGTGGATGTAAGAGGGAGTGCTGGCAAACTCCTGCACACAAATACATCTGCAACGTGTCGGTATTTGTGCAATTTAGACAACTCTCTCTCTGTCTTTTGATTAAAAATGATGGATGAAGTGCTGCACATGGAGAAAATCCAGTATGGCATGATGGTCAACCTCAAACAAATTTTTTCAGAATCTGGCAGCCTTTTTTTGGATCATCTTGCCCGATTGGACAGAGTTCCCAGACAGTGACTGATTCTCTCTTTAAATGTTTGTGTTAAGAAATATTCTGCTAGTGATGCAATGTAGCAGAATGTCCTGCATTGTAAGCAATGTTTTGTGTTTTGTTTGTTTTTCTTTATACTCTATAAAAAAATCTGCAAATCTTAAGAAAACATGGTTTAAAAAAAAGATCTGAAGTTGTTTTAAAGCTTTGATACTACAGTGTTTATTCAGATAATAAAGATTGTATCATTTTGAAACACATGTACCAAAAAGCAGTGAAATCTTGTTGCATCCCCCGTAAAGAGAGCAGGCACATCCACATTTACTGCTCTGTGTGCCTTTGAATTGCCCCCCGGGGGACAAATAAAGTTTTTTTGAATTAAATTTTTAGAATTGAATTGAATTGAACATTTACTGAAGCGCTCTGCTGTCGTTCAGGCTGCGTCTTCCTCCGTGGCTGAAGACGGAGATCCCCATCGGGAAAAACTACAACAAGCTGAAGAACACACTGAGAGACCTCAACCTGCACACGGTGAGTCGCACACACGACAAGTGACTCTTTTAAATCCGCTAGCTTTGTGTCTGTTCCTTCTAGTTTTTAAAGAACGTGCGTGTGTGTGTGTGTGTGTGCTCTTCATCAGGTGTGTGAGGAGGCCAGGTGTCCTAACATTGGAGAATGCTGGGGGGGAGGAGAGTACGCCACAGCAACCGCCACCATCATGGTGAGTCTCCTCCTGGCACACTCTGCGGTCTATCTGAATCCTGCATCAGTTATGCTGAATCAGCAGACGATGGACGTGCACTTTGATCTCTGTTTGCACACATCTGTATGAATACAGTTATCCAGTTGTACATTTAGCTTTACTCTCACTCTCTGTATCCATAGCTCATGGGGGACACATGTACCCGAGGGTGCAGGTTCTGCTCCGTGAAGACAGCCCGTCGCCCCCCACCGCTGGACCCAGACGAGCCGTACAACACAGCCAAGGCCATCGCAGCCTGGGGGCTGGACTACGTGGTCCTCACCTCGGTGGACAGAGATGGTAATGTGTTCAGTGCATCTTTTTCTAACTCTGCTCAAGTCGAACTTCACATCAAAGCTAGCGATGACATTCTGGAAGTCACTAAACAATGCTGACCAGACGATCTGTATTTTTCCTCTGCATGTTTTTCAGGATATTGAAATGTCCTCTAAATCATGTCCACTTCATCCACTGTCTGTCTTTTTTGTGCAGATATTTCTGACGGAGGAGCAGAGCACTTTGCTAAGACCGTCTCCAATCTGAAGGAAAGGTATCGTCATCCATCCCTTTTTAGATTTATTCAGTGTTTGTGTGTCAACATCACAGCAACAATAAATTAATCAGCACCTCCGTCCTCCTCCTTAAGGAACTCTCAGATATTGGTTGAATGTCTGACCCCAGATTTCCGCGGCGACCTGTCTGCAGTGGAGAAGATCGCCCTGTCGGGGTTAGACGTCTACGCCCACAATGTGGAGACGGTGCGAGAGCTGCAAAGGTGCTGACTGACACTACAAATCTGATCTTTGTATTTCACCGATTTATTTGTTCTTTCAGTGTTATTAAAGACTTTTGAGAAGAAGACATATCCTTAAAGTCAGAGGCAGTTAGTCTCTGTTGGGAGATAGTCCGAAAGCCCCGAGTTCTTGTGCTCTCCAGTTTGATTTGAGTGAAATCTAATCAGCACAAAAAAAAGTAGGAAAATGACAGAATATCTTTTGCAGAGGGATCGGGCAACGAAATGTTTTTATTTCTTTGCAATTAAGACAAAAGGAAAAATGATCAGAATGAAACCAGAGCACTGCAGCATGTTTCAGTCTGTGCTGTTATCTGGTATTAAGCCTCTAGGAACACAAATCCACTACAGCCCTCTTAAGTCTACTATCTTCAGTCCAAATTCCAAACACTCATACTTTAGGTTTTATCAACTTTTATGATACATTTTCAGTCTTTCTTTTCCCTTTTTGGAAACGTTTCTGGCCTGTGTAAAATAAAAGGCCATGCTGGCTGCAATAATAAATATTTAACTATTTATTTAAATGAAGTTTAGTAATACACACTTTTACCAGCAGGGGGGACAAGAGAGCCATTCCCCTCCTTAAAGTTTATATACTGGGATTAACATCTGTTCATGGTCGTCTGGATCCATTTTGTTTGTTAAATTGTCTCTGAGTTATGTTGTGTGCTGTTCTGTAGCCTGTCCTGTGAGGTGTTGTGTACATTAGTTTTATGTCTTTTTGTTTTAGGACTACGGATTAAAATTAACTTTTGTGCTAATTCTGGCATTATTCACATATATGTGTTGTGCTGAAATGATTAATGTGCACTGTCCTAATTCACTGAATAGATTAGATTATTGATCATCTTCCCTCTCTGTTTCCAGGCATGTTCGTGACCCCCGAGCCAACATTGACCAGTCTCTGAGCGTCCTGAAGCACGCTAAAAAAGTCAACCCCACTGGGCTCACCAAGACGTCTATCATGCTGGGACTCGGGGAGACCGACCAGCAGATACTCGACACATTGACTGGTATGTACACATGCGGCCACACACACGGTCACACCCTTCTGATCTCAAGTCAGTCAATGTCCTGCTCACTCTGTGTGATGATGTTTCAGAGCTGAGAGAGGCAGGCGTGGACTGTCTGACTCTGGGTCAGTACATGCAACCCACCAAACGGCACCTTAAGGTCAGTACTCCACACTTCATGGTGTGTTTCGTCCCTTTAACAAACACAAAAGCTTTGAAAGATACACGTTTATTTGGATGATCAAAGCCCTATGTGACGATGTCTGTAATGGTTTTAGGTGGAGGAATACGTCACTCCAGAGAGGTTTGCACACTGGGAGAAAGTTGGCAATGAAATGGGCTTCATTTACACAGCCAGCGGGCCACTGGTGAGATCCTCGTACAAAGCAGGTGAGTCACTGACTACAGTTGGACTTGTTCCACTGACACACAGGATTATAATGTTTAATTGCTGTAGTAGTTGTAGTTCTGTGTGTCACATGGCAAAAGCTGTGCCCAGCCAACATGGACTCACAAAACACTGAAAACAAAACGGACAAGAGCAGCGACATGACGAGAGAAGAAGAACAAACACATGACTCTAACCAAATATTAACACTTGTTAAGTAGCTGCTTTAATCTTCAAAAACCAAACATAAAGTGTCCTCCTGCGGTGTTGGAAGACATTAAACACAAAGTGAGCGAGCTGAAACACTTTGTATGTAAACAGGTTCTGAAGTCAGTCTTCATCAGACATAAAAAAAAAAACAACATACCTGGAACATCTTCAGACATTTCAGAGAAAATCTGACGTCTAAAAGTGTGATTCTAAGTTTTTATTAAACAGAATGTCATAGATAGTAAAGCAGAAGTCCTTCCAATGTGACAAGAAATTAAACAATGAGTTAAAGGGTCAGTGCATAAAAATTAGAAACCTTTTTTTCCCAACTTCCTCTGATGGTATTTAGACATGCAGATAGTTTGGGGTTAGGTTTCTTTCTGACACACCTGCTACCACAATATAGTAAATAGAGTTCATGCTGAGACTGTACATTCGACAATTCAGCTGCAGTAGCGTCTTGTGAGAAGAAGTCCCAGATACCCCGATTATCTACAGACCGCACTTCACAGACTTTTTCTTCAGCAGAAAAGAAAACTGTTCCGTTTATAGAAACAGTGACATTGATTCTGCAAGGACGTTATGTTGTGAATATTTTAAATACCATTTGCATGTTTTTTCACTGCCACATATAAACATAGCAAAAATAAATACCAATGGTTCCTGGAGATATGATACCACGAGCCACATGTTGTCATTTCTCTGTTTAAAAGGTATTTTTGTAATTTGGAAGAGTGAATATTTAAAATTCCTGTGCAAAGATCAAGGTTTTAGTTTTCTCACAGTACTCCTCTCGAGCACATGGCGACCATGTGAAACAGTAAACAATACAAGCAGCTTAAGTTTGACCTGCAGTGGGTCTTCATCAGAGTAACGACTGACATGAACAGCTCTTAACAGACCATCGAGACGCTGGTCACACAGCTGATCTGCTAATGTATCGAAAAATCTGTCATTTCATAGAATTCATTTAGCAGACGCTTTTATCCAAAGCGACCAACATCAGAGAGTAAGTACAACACGAGCACGGATCTATAGAGGAGGAAACGACTTCAAACAAACATCTTTAAGTCTGATCAGACACACAGGTAATGACAGGCGGTGCACAGAGGCAGAGCACAACGTCGACAGCTGAGTTCTTCATCAAAACCATCCTGAATATCATCATGGTCATTATCAAACAAAACCATCATCATCATCCATACCATTGAGTCGTGTTGTAGTCAAGACCACACTAATCGAGACCAAGACATACCTGAGACCAGAGTGCTCAGAGGCCGAGGCAAGCCCAAGACATTTAGGGATCAGGACCCAGTCGAGACCAAGACCAAGGCAGGACGAGACTGAGACAAGACCATAAATATAAATTAAAAATCATCATTTTGTGTCCAGTGGGCGTCCCACTCACTTAGACCGTAACACTGGGAAGGTTGTGGCCGTAACTGGGGGATAAAAATCAAACTACAAATGAATTCAAGTGATTCCTTCTTTTAGAAAGAGGAGTTTTCCTTCTTATCACAGTGACCGGTCTTGATTTAAAATCTGGAGTCCGACCAGTCTGAGACCGAGACAAGGCCGAGTAAAAATGCTTTTGATTCCGAGACAGAGAGCTATCAAAAGCTGGTACTCTGCAGATTGAATGGAGTCACATTTGTCGGATAACATTTTTTTAAACATGCCCCTCCTCCTTTCTTCACAGGCGAGTTCTTCCTGAAGAATCTACTGAACAAGAGAAAAGTAGAAGCAACAACAGCAGAATGAAAAGCACCAAAACAGCAGCTTCTAGAGGCTCTCTTCTTTTAATCTAGCTGCCAGCAATAACCATACACATGTACAACTTCAGCTCTACATTAGTGCATCACTGTTAACTTGAAATAGATTTATCACGTGACAAACAGGACTCATGAGAAGTACAGGGACCAATTGTTTGCACTGTTCAACCATGACGGCCCCAGAGAGACGAGTTTAAGAGAGAGGAGATCAAAGAGGGCGAGCAGAAGTTTAGAGCCTGCAGATATGAAGATCACCTGGGAGCACACTCACTTTGTGACACCCTGACAGAAGGAAATACAACTTAGGGTTAACCGCCGCTGTAATTTGCCATGAACTCCCTCCTGTCAGGGGCCCCAGACTTCAGGTGAAGAGCCGCTGACCTGTGACATCGAGCTCTGCGGGAGCTCTTTGATGTCTGCTGCTACAGGACTGACGATTTAATGAAGCAGAAGTTTTTTTTTTGGTCTGAGAATTCTTGTCCCCACAAAAACGTGAAATTATGAATGATACTCAAATGTATGGTTGTCAGAGATCTTAAACACGGTGTCACAGCATTTTTGAATCTGTATAACGAGAGAAAGTACAGTTTGATCTTCATTGGCCTTTAACCGTTTCCTGAAATTTAAGAGGTTCTGTTTCTTTAAAAGGACTTTGTCTCTCTGTGACTGATGAAAAGCCTGTTTAGCCTCAAACTGTTCATTTCGCAATGTAATAAAATATATATTTTAAACTTAAAGACGTCTGTTTCTTCTGCAAACTTAAAGGTCACATATCTCACAAAGTACACTTTACAATGTTGACAGAACACTAAAGTGTCCCTAGCCTGTCTACA